ACTCACTCACACACACACACACACACACACTCACTCACACACACAAACACACTCACACAAATACTCACACACACACACAAACACTCACATGCACACAGACACGCGCACTCACACGCACACACTCACACACACACACTCACTCACACACACACACACTCACACAGACACACGCACACACTTACACACACACTCACACAGACACACACACGCACACACACACACACACACACACACTCACTTACACTCACACACACACACACACTCACACACACTCACACAAACGCACACACACACGCAGACACACGCACACACAAACATGCACACACACACACACACACTCACTCGCGCACACACACACACTCACACAGACACACACACGCACACACGCACACACACACACACACACGCAGACACACGCACACACAAACATGCACACACACACACTCTCACACTCACGCGCACACACAAACACGCACACACACACAAACACACACACACACATATATATATAAACCAATATATGAAGTTTATATTTTATAACTTTTTTGCTTTGTTATTTATTGTATTTATACCAATGTATTTTTAATGTAATTTTTAATTTTATTTACACTTAATTTTTAATTATGCATTTTATTTATAAATGCATTTATGCATTTTATTTACAAAAGACTGCCTTTAAGCCGAATGCCTTAATATTATCAGCTGAAATGCATTGTAAGTCTTGAGTGTTTGTGTTTTGTAGCATCTCAAATATTTCACTTTTTTCTTTTATTCTTTTCTTTCAATATTTCATTTAAATCTAACATGTTAAAATTTTTAAATTACAAAATGTTAGACTACAATCAATAATCAAGGATGGGAAATTATTTTTTAAAAACGCTGTTTTTAGAATACGTCACAATACGTCTATTAGTGAAATAACCTTGAATTCATGCCGACTTTATGAAAACGATATGTTTGTTTACAGGTGTCCAGTCCTCACACATTTATTGTTTGCATATACCCGATTTTATTCTGAATGATCAGATGTCATGTGCTTTTGCTCTCGTGTTTCTCCGTCTCCAGGAAAGAGGTTTGATGGGAAGGCGAGGTTAGGATCTGCTCTGCCGGCAGCTGAACCCACATTTCAGGTCAGATGAAGACTTCATTACCTGCAAAACAAAAAAACACTCTGTGCATCGCAAATAATGCGGCCCTTACGATTAAAAAAGCTCACAATGTTCTTCATTTGAGAGTCAGTTTGGATAAAAGCGTCTGCTAAACCAGTTAAAGTTAATGCAAGTCGTGTGTGAAATGCAAAACATTATAAAGCATTTAAAAGATGGAGATCAACAAAAAGCAAATGTCAACTTTGTGAAATGTCAACTTAAAACTACACTAATGCAAGCTTTTTTTGTTTAATTTCGAGTTTGAATATGTAAAAAAAATAGATTCTTGCCTTCATGGTAAACCTACTGCAGGCTTTCTTCTTAATATCAGTGATATTTATGTTTCTTTTATAATATTATAATTTAATATTATAATATCACTTATAATATTATAAAAAAATATATATTTTTTTTTACACTTCATTCATTATTATTTATTGTATTTGTAATTAGTTATTTTATTTATACTTCAGTTATTATTATTGATTTTATTTGTATTGCTTACACTTCATTATTTTATTTTAAATTTTTAAATTTACATTATTTTATTTACATTTTTTTTATTTATTTGTAACTATTTTATTTCCATGCTATTTATTATATTTTATGCTTCATTTACTATTTTTCTTTTATTATTATTTGCACTTTGTTATTGTTGATTTTAATTTAGAATACTAGTACAACATTCTTACACGAGCTAATTGCAATAATTAAATAAGTGAATGGAATTCCTTGTAATAAACTCATCAGACACTTTCTCTCACCACTTTCAATATTAGGTTGGTTAGTTTTGCTTTCAAAATTCTCTCATTTGAAAATCCTTTTTATTGATCTCAGTCTTATTTTCAAACGATTAAGCATTTGTGCTTTGCATTTCACAGATGATTGCATTTACTTTTACTCGTTTAGCAGATGCTTTTATAAGTAAATAAGTACATTTATTTTAAATGAATAAATTAAATTTATGAAATTAAATTTGTTCCAGACGTCAATAGAGAGCCAGGAGTCCCATAATGCATCTGGAAACATGTCGCCTGAGATTTGTTCACTAGACCTTCACTAGAGGGCAGCATTTGATATAATTTATTATAATGTCTGAATAATTAAAACCACACTCATTTAAACATATAATCAACTCAACTTAACACATTTAAGTTGAACCAAAGTGCTTTACAGTATAAATTCAGTTATTGCAATGCATGCAATTAAAAACGGATATATATAATTAAACGTTTTTTAACCCTTATTTCTTTCAATCAACTCAGCCTCAACAGATTTAAGTTGAACCAAAGTGCTTTACAGTATAAATTCAATTATTGCAATGCATGCAATTAAAAACGAATATATATAATTAAACGTTTTTTAAACCCTTATTTCTTTCTCCCATCTCTCCTTGCTTTCTTTCTTGCTTTTGTAGTTGGTTTGCTCCAGTCTGGATGATCTCAGAGTCCTAATCAGTAAAATAGAAGATCAACTAGATGAACTGGACGGCAAAAAGAGATCTGTTAGTAAGAGAGGGAACACAAACACATGCATTTACTATTGAACAAACTAATTTATATGACAGTATTTTACCTTTGACTTATGTTGTGCACATGCAATTGATGCAACTAAATAAAAACCATTTATTTTTGGTTGCATAAATAATTTCAATGCATTTAATGCATATCCTGAACTGTGCGGATATTATCACTTTATTGAACCAAGATTAGCATTTTAATGTGAAATAAACAAATTCAGTGTGACCTAACATGTTTGCATGCATGCAAGCATGATATGAATTTGATGAGTATGAGTTAGTGTTTGATGCATGGCAGCGTTAAAGACTGATGTGTATGTGATGTGTGTCTTTGTGCCATATTTCAGGGACGATGGCCCCATAAAAGAGCCGCCGTGAAAGAGTTGCACATCACACTTATAAGGCTGCTTAATGAGCTGTTACCATGGGAACCCAAACTCGTCAAGGCCTTCCAGAGGAACAGGTAAAGGAGTAAACATGAACCTCCTTGGTGCTTTAATTTAATTTAAAAAGGGAATGTTTGAAAGCGAAATCATTTTACCTTGTTGCACTGAAACCACATGCTGAATATAGATGGGGAAATCTTAAATCTGTGCAATAATATTTTTCCCCTTTGAGAATCTTGACATTATGGTTTTTCAGACTTCTGCATTTCAGTATTGTTTTTGATCAAAGAAAGGTTTTCTCAAGCGATCTGGGAGGTGAATTTGAATTATATCCAAGAAAGAGCTTTCCATTGTAATGCGCAGTAACTGATACACCTCGCTGCATTCAACAGGCACCTAGATGTTTTCGTTTTTTTCTTTTCTACCTTGAGGCGATGTTTTCCTGGCAACAGGGCTTTGTGAATTCATCCCTGTCCTTGTCCTCAACAGAGCGCGCTTGAAAAAGGAGTGTGACGAATTAAAAAAACACCCTGAATATGAGAACTTTATCAGGGAGCAGATGGATACAGAAGGTACTGGGGAAGTTGCATGCAAAGATGAATTGTTGTCCGCAGAGACAACAAACAAACTGGAAGAGAGTGAAGTCAAAATGGGCAAAACTATGAAGGAAGATTCTGAGACAACAGGTGAGTCTGATTAACATTTGAAACGCCTAATTTTACCAAATGCATGGCCTTTATATAAGTTCTTGGCAATGCAAAGAGAAGCAAAACAATACAGGCCCTAAAGGATTGTTGAATTTCTAATGCATAACTAACCAAACAGTATGAAAGTATTTGTGATAGAAAGTGCCCGATTAATTTATTACAAGGAAGTGTTTCAAATATTCTTGCTTTTGTTGTTTAAGCAGCACTTTGTTTCAGTTCATCAACTTCTGTTTTCCATTTTCCAAATTCAAAGACATTTATGCATTCAGTACATTTTTGTGATGTTTGTTTTGACTGATGCATGCTGCCCTCTTTTGCAGAGAATGTAAATCACGAATCAAGATGCCTAGTTGACAGACCTGATGTTGTCATGTATTCGTCAGAGTCTGGACCCTTTACACGCAGTTCAAAGCGGCACCAAACTGGTGCAATCAGTGAGGAACTGAGTCCATGCAAGAGAGGCAAAATGGACCCAGAGAGCTCTTTGACATCTGACTTTAATGTGGAAGTTGCATCCAGAGAAGCTTCACAAGCTTCAGTGTTGCCTGAGCCTTTAAGTAGCTTTCAGGGGACTTGCAAACCCATCCAGGCTTTGCTGGCTAAGAGTGTTGGAAACAAAGTGACCTTAATAAGTCATCCGAAGGCTGCAATGATGGCTCAGGTTCTGCGGGATCATAACAAAACAGCATCTGTAACTCTGCCACCTGTCCAATTATCAACTACCTGTGCATCTACGCAACACTCTGAACCTGTCTCTACAGAGACAATAACTACGACATCTGCGACCGAAAGCAATGGACAGGTGGTGTACAAGACGGCAGGAGGCGTGGGGCTTCTCAGGCAAGGAAGCACTTCTGTAAACTTTTCAGTGCAATCAATGTCAAATCAAAAATCAGGGGCGAAGGCGATGCAGCAAGTTGTTATCCTGCCTTCAAATCTACTGATTCAAAGCACTGGGAATAAGGCAGCCCAGACCTCTGTATCTATCCCTAAGACTACAACGTACATGTCCAATGTTTCAGGGTTCACTATACCGGAAAACAAGGTTCCTGTCCAGCCGGTGGCACCTTTGAAAGATACCAGCACTGTAAGAACACCATCTGCTCTAGTTACTCCCAGTTTAAGGAACATAACGACTGTTGGTGTGCCTAAAAAGACTACTGAACCAAAGGTGGCCCTGAACAAATCAGCCAGCAGTGGTCTGACCAAATCTGATGCTAAACAGGAGCTCAGGACAGTGTGTATTAGAGACTCTCAGTCCATCCTTGTCACTACTAGAGGAGGCAACACAGGAGTGGTGAAGGTTCAGAAATCAGAAAGTGGAACGGGGGCTTTGCCACCCAGCCCAGTTTTTAACATCTCGCCCCAACTTCATGCCTTTCTGGTGTCAAAGTCTTCCACGTCTAATACACAAGCTGTTTCGGCCACCATTGCTGCTAAATCTCTACCTGGAGTCACTCCTCCGTCTACTTTTGTGGCAGGAACTGTCACTCCTTTAACCTTAAATCAGATTTCCAATAACGGCACTACAGGCAAAACAACAATCCCTGGTAAATCCGCACTCCTGGCTACAAGCAAAGGCAGTGATAATTTCCTAATAAATGCGAAAGATTGCGCTCAGCAGAATACGGTCTCTAAATGTGGAACGAAGCCCCCACAAAAAAGGGCTCCACCAGGAAGCACAACTCCAGACCAATCGACTTTCCAAAAGGTTTTTCTGGTCACACAAACAAATGTGGAATGGGAACGGCATAAAACTAGATAACATTTACATTCATTTATTTAACAGATGCTTTTGTCCAAAGAGATGTTCAAGTGTGATAGCACTTAATTTGATGACTTGGGTTTAGTTTTTAATTCTACAGGCTGATAGTACTAATAGTTTTGCAGTATTTCAGTGAATTATCTTGACGGAAAGATTGAGATATTTCTGATCCTTTGGTCTGTTCATCAGAACAGCAGATTAACACACACACACACATATATATATATATACACACACACACACACACACACACACACATTCCAGTCGTTTGTAATCCTCACATCACGACTAATGCTGCAAACTAAAGCCTTTCTGCTCTGCAGCAGGTCACATGCTTGCTTTACCCCCTGTGGAATTCTGGGTAACAAGAGCTTGGTTAAACATTCTTTGAAACCAAATGTGGCAGAGAGAAAAAACTTAGGTTAATTCATTGTGGATGGGATAAAAAGACTAATATCTACTGATTCAAAGCACTGGGAATAAGGCAGCCCAGACCTCTGTATCTATCCCTAAGACTACAACGTACATGTCCAATGTTTCAGGGTTCACTATACCGGAAAACAAGGTTCCTGTCCAGCCGGTGGCACCTTTGAAAGATACCAGCACTGTAAGAACACCATCTGCTCTAGTTACTCCCAGTTTAAGGAACATAACGACTGTTGGTGTGCCTAAAAAGACTACTGAACCAAAGGTGGCCCTGAACAAATCAGCCAGCAGTGGTGTGACCAAATCTGATGCTAAACAGGAGCTCAGGACAGTGTGTATTAGAGACTCTCAGTCCATCCTTGTCACTACTAGAGGAGGCAACACAGGAGTGGTGAAGGTTCAGAAATCAGAAAGTGGAACGGGGGCTTTGCCACCCAGCCCAGTTTTTAACATCTCGCCCCAACTTCATGCCTTTCTGGTGTCAAAGTCTTCCACGTCTAATACACAAGCTGTTTCGGCCACCATTGCTGCTAAATCTCTACCTGGAGTCACTCCTCCGTCTACTTTTGTGGCAGGAACTGTCACTCCTTTAACCTTAAATCAGATTTCCAATAACGGCACTACAGGCAAAACAACAATCCCTGGTAAATCCGCACTCCTGGCTACAAGCAAAGGCAGTGATAATTTCCTAATAAATGCGAAAGATTGCGCTCAGCAGAATACGGTCTCTAAATGTGGAACGAAGCCCCCACAAAAAAGGGCTCCACCAGGAAGCACAACTCCAGACCAATCGACTTTCCAAAAGGTTTTTCTGGTCACACCTTCACCAAATATCCCTTCAAAGGTCACTACTACTACAGCAACCTGTACCGTTCCAGGATCTCGGGTCATGTTCATAAGCAACTCAGCACTTACCATTCCAAAAGAGACGTCAACTTCAGAAGTTAACATTTCCTCTACTAGTACACCAGCATTGAAAGTAGTTCCCAACTTGGGGATCTTATCCTGCACTTCTTCAGGTACAAGCATCCAGAGCATCGGTGTCCCAGGGTTAACATCAAGAATACTTGGCACAAACAAGAAACCTGAAGCCTCAATGAAAACTACACCTGTGATCGTCTCCAGAGTACCTGCAACATCAACCACAAGTGGAATACAGATTGGTCCAAAAAGCTGTTTGGTTGCAAGCAGAAGTCTGTCAGGGAATACCGAAAGTGCTTCGAAAGTACCTCGGACTGTTGACGGCAAAACGCTCACGTTTTCAACTCTAGGCACTGGCCACATGGCTTCCTCTGCACTTTTGTCAGTTGTGAAACCAGATGTACCTCCATCAGTTTCAGCGTTAAATGCTCTTCACTGTAAAACAGGGTTATCGGCTGTCAGCTCTACTTCAAATACATCTTCCTCTTATTCAGGAAACCTAATTAACAAACACACTACGTTACCAATTAATGTGACTGCTAACAAGCCAGTGATCACATCCCTTTGCACTTCACACTCACTGATCAAAACAACAGCCAATACTTCCGCTTCTGCAGTATCCAGTACTTTTGCATTGAGTTGCAGCTCCACTTTAACTCCTCCGGTGGTCATGTCCTCTGGGATCCAACCTCTGACCTCTACCACCAAGAGTGTTCAGGAGAAAATCGTGATCAACACCACTGCCCCACTTGCCCCTGGAACTCAGCTCCTGATCAATAACACCAGATTTGTTGTACCTTCTCAAGGCCTTGCACCTGGCAGCCATGTTCTGCTTATCTCCAACTCTTGTCCTGGAGGAATGCAAGGGTTAAGTCCTGCTGGTCCTCAAAGATTGCAAGCGCCAAGCCCTGCTGGTCCTCAGAGATTGCAAGCGCCAAGCCCTGGTGGTCCTCAGAGATTGCAAGCGCCAAGTGCTGCTGGTCCTCAAAGTTTGCTAGGATCAAATCCTGTTGGTTCTCAAAGATTGCAAGGTCCAAGTTCTGCTGGTCCTCAAAGATGGCAAAGGCCAAGTCCAGCTACTCCTGGAGGATTGCAAGGGCCAAGTTCTGCTACTCCTGGAGGATTGCAAGGGCCAAGACCTGCTGGTCCTCAAAGATTGCAAGGGCCAAGTCCTTCTGGTCCTCAAAGATTGCAAGGGTCAAATCCAGCTAGTCCTAAAAGATTGCAAGGGCCAAATCCTACTGGTCGTCGAGGATTGCAAGGGCCAAGTCTTGCCAGTCCTGGAGGATTGCAAGTCCCAAGTCCTGCTTCCACTGTTTCTAGAGGTCCAAACACTTCAGTTACTCACACGGTTCCTTCAGTTGTACAAGGTGTGAGATTGGTAACACCGGTCAGGCTACCCTTGGCAAAAGTTGGACCTTCTGATCAACTCCGTCAGCAACTGAGCACCAGAACTCCATTGAATGTGTCTGGTCCTACTGCTCTCTCACAAGTAGCACAAGCTCTGCGTCCTGGTGTATCTTCAGACATTGTGAGACTTCCTATCTTTCAAACCTCCAACGTTTCAATTACAGCATCACAAGGTACGACCGGGTGTCCCAAAGAAACCTCTCTTTCCCAAGGAGGTTTACTAAGCACAACTTCTCCAGTGCTCTTGCCAGGAAGACTATCCCAAAACCAAGTGGCACCAGTCGTACCACCAGCAAAAGCTGTGATTCCAAGGCATTTGCCTATGGTACCACACATGAGCAGCACAATATCACGGATGCAGAAACTTCCGGTTGCAATGGTTCCACCAATCGGTGGTGCAAACAATGCCAATCCAGACACTCTCATTGCAACCGCTCCTCCATCTATGAGCACGGTCATAATGACACCTTGTCCACCTATCAGAGCCGTGCAACCTGGGACAATCGGAAAGCCTGTTATTTTACCCCAGCTATCGCAAGGTCAAAGCACGGTTCCTGTACAAGTTCCCACTCCTGCTAAACTGTTGTTGAGCCCAGATGGTGCTGTCTTAAATATCATTCAAGCCTCAGCCTCAAGCTTGCAAGTATTGGCAAAGCCAATGGCCGCTCAATTGGTCAGTTCCTCCTTGAGTAGCGTTACTGTACCTATTTTAAACACAAGTGATCCACTGAGAAAACCAGATACCTTGGGGAGACCCAATCACTGAAATGGTTCTGGAGGTTGTCTTGTTTTCCTGTTGTGATCACAGAGGACAGTCTGTTTAGTGTTTTGGGCTTTGTTGAAAACAAGTGGGCTTCCTTTGGTTCCATTTCCTCCCCGTGTTGATAGGCTGAATACTCAATACCTAAATTAATATTTTGTGCATTTTGCTCTTTATAATACATATTGAGGGGAAATCGGTTATCCTTAGTTAAAAAAAATGGTTTCGCAAAGAGAAATTTGGAGATTTCAAATGGCCAGTAATGTATATAACAGTGTTTGGCTGACTCTTTTCTACTCCATTTGTATGCAAAGGTTTGAATGTTTTGTAGCATTTTCCATTAAAATGATTAATATTATTCTGTAGAACAGTCTTCAGTCTATTTAAGAGTATGTCTGGCTGATCTCAAGCCTGCGTTAGTGCATTCAGGCATAGGTTGAGTATTATCAGACATCATCTGATAACAGTTTGATTTTGTGTTTCATCTATATTCATGAAAATAAACTTGGCATATTTATGACTGAAGTAAAACATTGGTGTACTGTGCTTGTCTTGAGTTTGTTAAACATGTTATATCAAGAGATTCCCAAACATTTTTGTCAGCTGAGTCCGACTATTTCCTGAGATTTTATGATATAATTTAACAGCACATTACATGCAGTGACGCCGTTCACTGCATAAGAAGCTCGGCATCTCTTCATAGAAACTTAGTTTGCCTCATATAGTTGAGATTTCCAGCATCAGGAATCTGAAGCTCAACGAATATGTGAACAAGTTTCATTATGCTTGTTCACTTTTACAGTCATACATTTGGAAAAGAACTGCAGACATCCCTGCTGAAAAAAAACAATAGAAACCATCACAGAATTTGTAATGGTTTTACTGGTTATAATGGGACTTGTATTGGTTTTAATGGAAACTGTAATGGTGCCGGTGGGTTTCTACTGGTTCTATTGGTGACTTGTTAAAACCAATAAATCCTAATGGAATATGTACCAAAACACACTAAAGAAAAACATTTTTAATGGTTAAAATTTGATGGTTTGTAATGGGATTTGTAGAAGAAACCCAAATTTATGTGATGGTTTCTATTGAATTTTTCAGCAGGGATATGATTGATAAAGATAAATGATTAAAATAAAATCATCAGTAACAGGTCAGAAGAAAATACTTTGAACAGAAATAAACAACTAATGTGAAATCTCCATCTACCCTACTGATGCTTCACACTTAAAACTGCATCTGTAACTGAGAGCATCTTACCAGTTTTAGGTGCAAATGACATTTTCTTTTTAAATACTTTGAATTAAACACACTTTTTTGGATTAAATGAATATTAAACTTTATTAGCCTCAAGTCTGATGAATGGCATTGTGTTTAAAAGGCACAGCAGTGTTATGTTATAGTCCACACGCTTTGGTAGTTGGTCCTGGAGAGTTCAGCTCGAACCCTAATCAAACACCTGAAGAAGCTCATCAAGGTCCAAGGATTAATAGAAAGCTACAGGCAAGTGAGACTTAATCAAGACTGGAGCACTGTGGCCACTCCTGCCGTATACTGTCACTTGTACTGTGTGATCGTTCATCCCACAAACATTACAGAAATCCACAGATTTTCCTTAAGTTTGTGACTCATGGTGAGTAAGCAGGAGGTGAAGGTCTGGAGGCGATCTTCTCGTAGGCCGGAGGAGCGTTAGGAATCTAGAGGAGAGGAGAAATGCTGCTTTAAACACATCTGATGTGAGGAAACAAATGTGGAATGGGAACGGCATAAAACTAGATAACATTTACATTCATTTATTTAACAGATGCTTTTGTCCAAAGAGATGTTCAAGTGTGATAGCACTTAATTTGATGACTTGGGTTTAGTTTTTAATTCTACAGGCTGATAGTACTAATAGTTTTGCAGTATTTCAGTGAATTATCTTGAACGGAAAGATTGAGATATTTCTGATCCTTTGGTCTGTTCATCAGAACAGCAGATTAACACACACACACACATATATATATATATACACACACACACACACACACACACACACATTCCAGTCGTTTGTAATCCTCACATCAGGACTAATGCTGCAAACTAAAGCCTTTCTGCTCTGCAGCAGGTCACATGCTTGCTTTACCCCCTGTGGAATTCTGGGTAACAAGAGCTTGGTTAAACATTCTTTGAAACCAAATGTGGCAGAGAGAAAAAACTTAGGTTAATTCATTGTGGATGGGATAAAAAGACTAATAAAATAAAGTTTTCAAGTGCATATATAAAATTATTTTCAAATACAAATGTTTATATGTGACCCTGCAGCACAAAAGCAGTCATAAGTAGCACAGGTATATTTGTAGCAATAGCCA